CGCCCACCTCGGCCTCCCAAAGTGCTGGGATTACAGGTGTGAGCCACCGCGCCCAGCTTTAAATATTTTTAAAATTCTCCCCAGAACACCGCTGTCCATCTCTGGCATTCGAGCAAGGGAGAGGAAGCGAAGGCCCTTTTGTGGGCACCTATTTCCCGCCCGTCCCTCCACCTCATACCGCTTGGTTGCCTGGCGAACAGATTCCTCATTGTGGGAAGCCACCATGAGGTGGCACATGGGGCCGTGGCGGGCCACGCGCGTCAGCATCAGTTCCAGGCAGCGGCTGTAACTGAAGGGAGATGCTCTGTTCAGCTCACCTAGTGAGCGAGGCTCAGGCCCCAGGGACTGGGGTGGGTGGGGTGCTCCTAAGCGAGGGATCTCTGGAACCAGTACCCCGTTCCATCTGCACCAGTTGTAAGGGACATCCCTTCTCTGAGCCACTTTCATCTTTTGGGTTTTTTTGGGGGGGAGTTTGTTTGTTTTTGAGATGGAGTCTCACTCTCTTACCCAGGCTGGAATGCAGTGGTAATCTCGGCTCACCGCAACCTCCACCTCCCAGGTTCAAGTGATTCCCCTGCCTCAGCCTCCTGAGCAGCTGGGATTACAGGTATGCACCATCATACCCAGCTAATTTTTGTATTTTTAGTAGAGACGGGGTTTCACCATGTTGGTCAGGCTGGTCTCGAACTCCTGACCTCAGGTGATCTGCCCACCTCAGCCTCCCAAAGTGCTGGGATTACAGGCGTGAGTCACTGCGTACGGCCTTTTTTTTTTTTTTTTTTTTTTTTTTTCTCTGAGACAGTCTCTGTCACCCAGGCTGGAGTGCAGTGGTATGATCTCGGCTTACTACAGCCTCCTCCTGGGTCAAGTGATTCTCCTGCCTTAGCCAGCCAAGTAACTGGGATTACAGGCGCCTGCCACCACCCCTGGCCAATGTTTGTATTTTTAGTAGAGAAGGGATTTCACCATGTTGGCCAGGATGGTCTTGAACTCCTGACCTCAAGCAATGCACCCACATCGGCCTCCCAAAGTGCTGGGATTACAGGCGGAGCCACCTCGCCCACCCTCCATATCGTTCTTGACATTTAATATTGTTTGTCTTTTACTATAACCATCCTAGTGGGGGTAAAGTGATATCTCATTGTGGTTTTGATATGCATTTCCCTAATGACTAATGATGTTGGGCATCTTTTCATGTGTTTATTGGCCATTTTAATATTTATATTGAAATGACTATTCAAATCCTTGGCTTGTTTTTAAAAATTGAGTTGTCTTCATCATTTTCTACTAAGAGTTCTTTACATATTCTGGTTAGAGAAATTTTTGATTTTGATGAGACCCAATTTATTTTTTCTTTTGTTCCCTTTACTTCTGGTGTTACATCTAATAAACCATTGCCTTATCCAATGTCGTGAGGATTTACTCCTGTGTTTTCTTCTAAGAGTTTTATAGTTTTAGCTCTTGCATTTATGTTGATGAAAATCTTTTTTTTTTTTTTTTT